ATTCGTTTTATTGCAATCTCTTGCAATACGTCACTTATATGGTCAATATGTTAAGGATTTTATTAAGTGACTTTCATCTCTTGCTATTCACACGGTGCTTTGTTCTAGTGGATTCTTACAACATTCTATGTGTGACAAATATATTGTATTGTTACTTTGTCATACACGGGGACGATTATTGTTTACATTATATTGTAGTTATTGTACATCTTTATATGCGTATTGAAAATGCCATTGAACCCATCCCTCCAATTCCTTTTTTAATAATAATAATTTATTCAACATAGTACAATACAGAGTAATAAAAATAGAAGAACAAAAACTAATATAGCTCTAAAAGCTGAAAGGGACTCCACTCAGCTGGTGTCCGCTGCGTGTCATTGCAGCCCTGATTTTCAGTGGAGCTACCACTCGAGAGAAAGAAATATTAAATCTAAAAAGAACTCTTGATTCTCTTTTTTTTATATTTTTATATCAGGCCTTTCAGTATTTCTGTGTAGTCCTGGCTTCTGAACTAGCATTAGCCGTATGACAGAAGCCAGATGATATTTTTTAACTTTAAATATATAAAAAGTAATGTAAGAGTAAGTTAGTTGGATGAATTAGAAGTATGTGTGATGAATTAGTAGTAATGATAAACAAGTTCCGGCTGAAGATGAGATATGTATAAGAGTCATCAATATACATGAATATCACGGATATTACGTCATCATTTGACGCTAGATACTACTAATACCTTATCATTCAGGAGGTCTAAGATGTTAAGTCTCCATATCCTGCGATTTCACTGCCTTATCTCAACTTTCAAAACAAACAAATCTTACGTTATGGGAAAATTGTTAATCAAAAAACTTGATGTTCTTAAGCGGCTAAAATGTTCTATATGAACACATTATTTTTAATTGATTTTACAAAGAAAGCCGCTTGGTAGTTGATATAGGTGAGATAGAGGTAACTACGACTAGACAAATTTGTATGAAGTCCTAGTACTTGCTACGAATTGCCAATTTATTATAAAAAAAATGTTTTCGCTTCTGTGCAAACTATAAACGTTGATGGGATGGTAGATGATAATATGATAATGAAGTTAGTTCTCCTGCGCCGCTGTAGTGAATGATTCAGAAATTCACCAACCAACTAAAATTGTGGGACTAGTTTATTCAGGTTAAATTATTTCCTTTTTAATAACATAATTTAAAACATATGCTAGTGGTCATTTTCTCCCCAATTTCTACATCTGCTTCTTTCTTATCCCATTTATTTGAAATCAGCGTATTGTCCCTAATTTAATTTTTAAAAATCTGTATTTATACATTCATGTACAATCTCATTTGAAAAGAATAAAGCACTCCGAACTGACGATTTAGATAGATTTGACATATCGAATCTGTAATAGACTAGGTAGATTTGACTTATCATAAGAGTCTGTAATAGATCTGAATAAAGATTTGGATTTTGATAAATTGTTTCCCGCCAAAATCTTATTTTTATTCATTGTCACGACTCTCATATATAATTTGATATTCGTATCACATTTGATACTGGTTTTAAGGATACACGCTTGCAACGGTTATTGTGCGAAAACTAATCTTCTCAATACATTTGAATACAATTTTTCCTGATGTATTTATTTGACCTCGCAAATGCCTATAGAGTTTATCCTTATAGGAAATATATGCAAAGATATGTGATATACAAAAGGTAATGTACAGGCAAGGATGAAACAATTACACAGTGAATGTCAAATGGTAATATAGGAAAATAAGGCAAGAAAGTTGTGGAGACCATTTTTTTTATACAAATCGTTCGTTCAAATAGTTTTTTGTTATTATCATTATCATAAATGATGAAACAAATATTATTTTCAAAGCTTTTGCTGGTTTTTTTAATATGTATATATCTTATTATTAATATAAACGCGAAAGTTTGTGAGTATGGATGTTTGTTAGTTTGACACGCAAAAACAACCGAATGGATTTTAATGAAACTTTGCAGTAATATAGGTTAAATATTAGTATAATACATAGGTTATAATTTAAAAAGATTTTATGTATATTGGGCTAAATATAATTAAAAATGATAAGTAAATGTGATGCGGACGAATTTATATACCTACATTTTTAAGGCGGTAATACTTTCAAACAGTGAATTTAATAAGCAAGGATAAGCGATCTCCAGCCAATCTATCGTTGTGACTTAGTTAGTAATTGGCGGGAAATAGTGCGCGAGTATTGGACAGAAGACATAAATAGAATGTAGCCAATAAATTATCATAAATTAAATGTATGGAAATGAGTGTAAACAAAAAATGGTCTTAACTATTTTAAGACACACAACATAACGTATGTATCATACAAAAGCAATTAACATAACATTTAGATTATGGAATGAACTACCTGCGGAGGTTTTTTAATAATAATAGTATCCCTGGACAATTCACACAGCGCCATCTAGTCCTAATTTAAGCAGTGCTTGTGTCATGGGTAGGGTATTAGACAACTGATATAAATACATAGATATATATCTTGGGTACGCTGCCTCGATGTGCCGCATTGGATTACAATGATTGTTTTTTGTGATTGTTTATATTAATTATGTAAAAAATATATAAATAAAATACATAGATACTTTTTGTTTTGTGAATACATACATAATATACATAGAGAACACCCAGACCGATAAAATTAATCATACATATGAATACAAATATTGGTACCGTGCGAGGAATCGAACCCGCGCCGATCTCTAGGTTTATATATTTATCCCTAATGAATGTATGTATATTTAGTAGTATAATAAATAATAATATTTAGTAGTAGAATAGTATGTACATAAGTCCTCACTTCTAGGTTGTCTGTAATAGATTGCATTACTGCTCCTAATAAAATTTAAAAGTAACGAACGAGACAAAACGGTCCTCAGAGGGGACAGTGAGTCCACCTTCTCTGCTATTCTATTATAGCCTTTATTAGCAAATTAATACAATATGCATAATGAAGTCACCGAAACACGAAACGAAATTAAATATGCGTCTAATTCCGACATTCCCATATATGATCCGCTTGATCAGGTTATTGGTGGTTATTTTTAGCATATCAAAATAAAATCTAAATGATGACGTCATTGAAAAAAGTCTACAATGGAAAATATTGCGAAAACTGGTTACAAGTTTGATTACGCATTTAATGTTCTTATAGAATTTCTATTAATAATTATTAGTATCCGTATAAGAATTATAAATACGAATATGTGTCTGTCTATCGTGAGTATAACGAGTATGATAGCCTATATTTTATCTCGAAAAAGACGAATTTGCTATCAGCTAGTCTGTTTATGATTATTTTTAAATTAACAATTTCATTATCATTTGATAATGAAATTGTTAATTTAAAAATATCACAATTTTTTTTCTTTATTTATAGTAAAATCTGTTTGTCTGTTAAGGCATATAATCACCTGGAGAAATTTATGTACGCTAGCTGTGCTCGCGATTTCACTCGCGTAAAATTTATAGTCTATATGTTTGAACTTTATAGCGAGCATGACTGTTTCAAGTTACTCCACTACGTCATTTATATTATTTACAGCATAAACTGTTCCAATCACAGTTTTCACCCATCATATTCAATTTAAATTATTTAATTTACAATATGTCATTACTAAACTTACAATAAGTTTCTTTAGTGTTTTTGTATCATTAAATATTTTTGTATTATTGGTTTTAGTGTTATTTGTGTACAAAAGTCTTTTTCTCTTTCCGATTTAAATAATTTCATTGTAGTTTTTGATTAGTTCAATTACTTATACTTTAAATTCGACCACTGAGCCACTGACCACTTACTATTATTATATCAATTTTTTATACACGAATTGATCGTTTTTTATATGGAATTTATATCGATATCGCCAGTTTATCTGCGTTGACGTATTGCTTTTATACGCGGGAATCGAACTGAAACTAATTCGTAGCCGTGCTAAATCACATTAGTTTCGGTGATTGAGGCTGGTTGCAATGCACCTTGATAGTAACACATTTGTACATTGTTAAGGCAATAATAATAAAAAATAAGATGTTACTCTATAAAAAAAAAAGATCAAACACATCACACACTCTATAAAGAAAGAACAATATCTAGTAGAATCAAGATTTTAAACATAAAAAAATTAAGAGGAAAATACTAAGCAATATTATCAAATCAGATTCTGTAGCTTTATTGTTATTTAAATCAAGATAATATATGTTATATTACATAACTGTATTTGAGAAAGACAAAATCTTGCTATTCTTTTGTATTTAGTATTATTGTTTGTGTTGTCTATATATCTATTTCAAATTTGGCACACCTACTTCCAATGGTCGCAGATTCGATTCCTCGCACGATGCAAACTCTCTCCGATCGATCCCCCGTCCAAATCAAACGGGGATCGATATTACGACGGCCTAAGTCGAGGTTCGAAACCCTAGTGATGCCCTCAGACTAAAGTCGTATCCGTCAGGCAGGAGTTGGCCTTCAGCCGCTCCATAAGTCCTTCCGCGGGTTTGAAGTGCCATCTGCACTCGCCCCCCTAACGTCCGGTGAAGCTGTAAAGGCCAGCTGCGGCCAACAGAATTAGAGTAGTCCGAAAAAAAAAACGATGCAAACATGTGTATTAATGAGTGCGATTGTTTGTATTGGTCTGGGTATTTTCTATGTTTATTATGTATTGTAAAAAATGTATTTAAGTATTTCTATTAGTTGTTTAGCCATAACACAACCTCTACTTAGCTAGGAACTGTGAAATGTGTTTGTATGTCCAGGTTAAAATGTACATAAATTTTATAATCTATTTCTCATAGGCTCTTATGAGAAATAGTACTTTAAATTAAATCTATTTAATTATACATAGTTTTAATTATTTATTTATCAGGAATAAAGAAATATATATATGTTATATTACACCATTTAAACACACACATAAGAAAAACTAATAAATTATGTTACGTATATTTAAATTTATAGTTCCGGTGGCTTGATTAGTCAGATATTGGTATTCCACTTAAACAACAAACATTCAATAATAAATGCCATTGACCTCTTATACTATGCTCTGGACCATCACAGATAAATAACAATTAACGTCAAATGACATACAATCAAAAACGCAAACCAGCTTATCAATTTCAAACAGTATTAGTTACTTGACATATTTATCTTAAACACATTAATTATAATTATAATTTCATGCCATTTCACTATTATGTCCATACTTAGTAAGACGTAACTTAGTACGGATAATACACAATAAAAAAAGTGTTTTCAATAAAAAATCTTCAAAATGTGACTGTTACGTTATTGAAAACATTTGAATTGAGTTATCGTAGCATGAAATTTATTTTATTTAATGATAACGCGGTGTTTACAATTATCAGGATATATTATATCGGCTTTAATAAAAAAAAGATAAGTTCTTTTTTATCTGTTACGTTGTGGCGAAGGAAACGCGGAGGTGTCGCATTCTAAACAATTGAACGACCTAGAAATAAGACATGCAGTTTTTTTCGACTAGGAAATGGTATTTAATTGATTGCGTTTACTGTCTGATGATTTCGTAGTGTTTGCACAACGTTCAAATCAAACGGTGTGTTTATTGTGTGGTGAATATAGTTAATGTTAATAGTTACAAGTGCTTGTGAGTTAAAATGATGTCGCCGTTGAATATTAGTGCAAAATGGGATATGATCAGGAACAAAATGCAAGGATATACCATCTTAGGTAACTGTTGAACATATAATATATATCTTTATCATTCATAATTTAAAAACCGCGCTCTTATCGGAGCTCTAGCCATTTTTCAAGATTTTCCATCAATGTCTTTAGTTGTTGATACGACACGACTCCAACTTTTTCCTTGTTCTGCTTAATATAGCTGTCTTTGTCTTCCCCTTTCCCCACTTACTTCTTTTTCTTTTAAATGACAATCACATTCCATTATTTGAATATGAAATATTGTTGCGACATGACTCCAACTTTTCCTTTGTTCTGCTTTATATACCTGTGTTTCCCATTCCCTCTTTACTTCTATTTTCATTTAAATGATAACCATATTTTAATTATTTGAATATGGAATGTTGTTGCGACCCGACTCCAATTATTTCCTTGTTCTGCTTAATATAACTGTCTTCCCTCTTAACTCTTTACTTCTCTTTTCATTTATATGACAACTATATACTTATATTTGCTGAATATGGAATATTGTTCACTCCTGCGCTTACAGTATATGCTGGCGAGGCACCAGTAGAGGATATTGTACAAGAATTCAATTTCTAATGATTTCATTTGAAAACTAATTTTGCTCCAATGTCATTGGATTGCGTAGTTTCGCACCTTATTATACTACTTTATTTATTTTTTTAACTTCAACTCACAAAATACAAAAGGTAGTAATATAAACATTTGGCGGACTTAACACCATGCGGTATTTTCTACTAATGAACCATAGATAGTGTGGCAAGTAAATATTGGAATTTCTACCGATGTAGGACCAAAATGTGGACGATAGACTGAGTGGACTGTATGTGTGATATAAATCAAACAATGGATAGAAATGTACAAACGGTTGTAAGACTATAGATAAGAAGATAATAAAAATATATGAGAATTCTATAAAGAAAATACATTCAAAATTGATAGACAAATAAATGACAAATAACAATTAGAAAAATCGTCCCAAATTGGCAAATTAGTTTTGTTCATTAATTTGATGACCTCGGTGGTCTTGCGGTGTAGCTTACCTTATTTTGTTACGAGTTCAGTTCCCCGGAAGGTACAAACATTTGTATTCTTGAGTATGATTGTTTGTATTGGTTTGGACCACTAAGTCGACCTCGACCATATATTACTTGCAATACGGTTATTAATTCGTATTACTAGATGACAACCAATTATTCTTTAACCAGGCATGATACTTTCTTCGTAGGTTAACTTACTGTTGTCATTATAACGCTGGCCGTTCGGCTTGGTATATAGTTTTATTTCTCCATTACGATAATACATTGTCTATTACGATATCCCGGAGATGAATACAATGGTAAAACATTATATTATGTGTAATTATATTTTCAATAAATTTATGTATTTAATAAAAGTTTACTCTGAATTTCGTTTTTATTTTTATATATTATAGATTTAACTATAACGCCGACCCCAAATAAATGGGATAAGAAAGAGGCAGATGATGATGATATATTTAACTATACCATATAGTTACTAGGTTATTGTTGGTGGTTATATTTACACATATATAATGTAATTATATAATATGTATAAATCATAAAATAATTTTAAAGATAAGTGGGAAAGTACCTATTGCGGTAAAGAATGGCTATAATATAACTTTAGTTGCGATAAGTAAATAGTATGAAGAAATATATTTTACATATACGGCCTCGGTGGAATAGCGGTTTAGCATACCGCCTTACTTCCGAGAGTCGCGAGTTCAATTCCTCGTATGGTACAAACATTTGTATTCAGAAGTATGATTTTTTCGTATATATCTGGGTGTATTCTATATATAGGTATATACACAAAAAAATCTAAGTATTTATTAGTAGTTGTGTTAAGTATTTATATCAGTTGTCTAGTACTCATAACATAATTTCTGCTTAGCTTGGGACTAGATGGCGCTGTGCGAATTATCCTTATTACTATAAAAAAATGTACTCATATACAATCTCTGCTTAGCTCGGGACTAGATGGCGCTGTGAATTGTTGTCGTGTTTTTAAAACAAAAATGCGACAACATTTGTTTGTATTTAGAAAAAATACGCCTAAACGACAAAGAAATATTATGCAAAAGTTGAATATAAATATTATAAATGTACTATCAAGTTCGTAGACTTATCAGCGCTGTATTTTGTATATAATAAATATGCGAAAAACCCCTCTTAATCTTATCCACGGCGGCTAGATATCTATTTATATATTAATCCCTCACATTTTATAAAACATGTTATAATCGCCGAAGTAAACTTTATAAGAAGTGTCTGTAGACTTTATAAGAGTTACGTGCATACACAGACGACTCTGTCGGAACTATTTCAATAGACAATATTTATTGTATTCCACAATGTTTACAGTAATGTGATCATAATTAGTAAATATATAACAATATGGATCTTGTTAGAGCACGCAAACATAACAAAATTAAATATTTAGTTCTAATTATAACATATAATTCAATATAGTTAATATAGTTGCTAGTGAATTTTCCTCTGCCCTTGACCTCAAGCTCATCTTAACATCCTCCACTGGAACCCCGCCAGTGTAAACTGCTAGCGCAGGCGGGTGAACCATTGCATTACCTTCCAATTAAAAAAAAATCTGTTTGCATAGGACTGAACGGGGAATGTAGACTAGGGAATGAGCAATGGGGTCGTTGCTAGCATTACACCAAGCAGTTTGACATCCACGCGGTTCTCCCTGGAAGCCACCATAATAAATTCCTGGTGAATTTGTCACGATGACTGATGATGACTTGACCACATGCTCATCTTATTATCCTCCACTGGTGTCTCGCTAGTGTAAACTGACTGGCTGACTGCTAGAGCAGGCGGGTGCACCATTACATTATCAGCCATAAAAAAAACCTGTTTGCAATTTCAAGTTATATAAAAAAAATGTCAACGACTCGAGAGAAATGGCCATGAATTAATACAATTTACTTGTGAATTGTATGTCGCAAACAAATGATAAACATGATTTGTTTAGTGCGCTTGTAGTTATTATTGATGGAAAGTTTGCTGTTATTTATACACGTATTATGCATTGTTGTTATTGTATTAATTACTAGCTATGCTCGCCGTTTCACGCATATAAACAATGTTTTAGGAGCCGTTCTAGTATTACGTAAGCAGATTTATTACAATTATTTACCCCCCCCCCCCCAACGCCCTTGTCCGCAAAAGTAAGCAAAGCTCTTACCCCCTTCTCCCATGCTTACGTAAATATTTTTCAATTAATGTATTATTTTTTTTGCAAAGATAATGTGAGGGTTGCCATTCGTGTAACTCCCCTACCCCCTCTGTCATCCAAAATAAGCAAAGCAAAGCTCCGAACTGACAGTAGAATTGACATATCATAAGACTCTGTAATAGACTTACATGAACGAAGATATTTTGATTTAATTTGATGTATAAGCTATAATTACTGGAAAGTTTCATCAAAATGCGTCAAAGAGTAACATACATCCATACATCTATCCATTCATACTCACAAACTTTCGCGTTTTTAATATCAATAAGATTATATAGTAGTATTATAGCGACGTAGACTTTGTTTAAAGTCATCTACAACCCAGTTTCACCCCTTTTGGTATATTTTCTTTACTCTTTGGTTTCACCTATTTCAGCCGGCAAGCAGCTCGCTTTGTAAGCTGTTTCGCTTAAAGGGTGCAGATTGAACAGTGAAATTACAGGATAAGACGTATGGCATGTTAGTGATCTGGAATGGCAACGCATGAATGATATTATGTCCATCATGATAACGTGACGTTCTTGGTCTTATTACCATCAAAGTGCCGTCTTACATTCAGTCTGAGATATATATAATTTGGTATATCAGCGATACAAAAAATAATAATTATAACTCAGACCATTCATACAGCGTTTAAATTACTAAATTATTGGATTTTTGAAAATTATATACTGTTTTAAATTTGATGCGGTCATTATTTATACGTAAAGTTAGGAAAACTCACGGTATCTGACCAGGTTTCATTTTTTTTCGTGTTCCCGATATTTCGGCCGCCATTAATACGGGAAAACTGAAGAGTTGCGTGTAGATTGTAAATAAAATGTTTTATGAGCAGACATATTCGTCTACCTTCTTACATGTCTTCATTTGTTCCTACTATCGAAACTCGCTCGACATTCATCTCAGCATTATAAATTTGCTTCTAATATACATAACTCTAGTACATCATATTATATAGATAATTAAATGTTATTTGTTATGCAGATTAAAACCAGTTGACTTAATTTAATGGATATTATATTGAACTAATTACATAATACGAACATAATTTTAAAGGAAGTAGGTATTAAGTTAGCTAATTATTTAAAGAAACGTTAACTCATCTAAATAAATAAGAAATACACCAATGGAAATTACGGAGCTCATAAAGGCATGTTTACATTAATTAATTTATTGCAGACAGAAATTTAAAATAACTATTTATAATGGAATTCTATTATATTGTAAGTTTATCTTTATAAAGAGATTATCTACAACCCAAGATAGACCAAAATAATAGTAGATTTTAGATTTCAGATTTATTTATTTACCATGTAAAACAGATTACATGTAGCTCGCCAGTTACAAAATTGTAAGTCTATAGTAAATTAACATTAAGATAAATTAAAATTTGCCTTTGACATGTATCATTAATGTGATAAAATGAAAAAAAATATTTTTAAAATGTACTTTAAAGTTTTTCTAAACTTTTAAATGAATAAATCTTGGCTACTTTTATCAATCGATTATACGTGAAGATAATGCTTTAACGGTAGTCACTGCTTAATAGATTTTGCTAGTCTTTTAGTATAAAAAAAGACTATTAATAAATACCTATACTAAACTGTCACAACTGTACACTTCTATATTTTCTAATCTATTCTATTCTATAAATATAATATCATTTTCAATCCACCAAGGCAGAGATTCTCAATTCGACTATGTATTTTTTTATATACCTCACACCTTTTTTCTAAACCAAT